TATTCTGCTAAGGATCAGTAGCAGCAGGCGATACTTACATAGGTTGTTACTGATTGTATCCAAACACACTAGCGGTGAAACACTTTTATGACTGATGGACTTTCGAAAATCACCTAGAACGTGCATTAACAATAGAGTGTTTTCAAATAGCATTTTGTAAACGTATAACATTTCGTAAACGTAATCGGTGTATGATGATAATAAACTTAATATGTTTATCTAGGTTCTATTACTTCTTATAGACAGAATATATTTGTTTAACAAAAAAACTTGTACTTAAAATTGTTGTAGAAGCGGGCAAATAATAAAAATTATCTTATCGTCCATTTTAGGCACATGTATTTATAAGTAACGTTTTCCATCACTCCCAGACGTATGGTAACTAATTATTCACACTGATCGGTCTTGCGCGACCGGTCTATAAGTCAGTTTCCACAAACTGGTGTTTCATTAGGCGAAATAAAGTACAGTTTCCTTAGATATGCGGTGGTAAGTTTTTGCAAGTACAAGGTACAGGGTTGGATAGAATGGAAGGATGTTTTCGAAATGTGAATGTGTGTACAAAAATTTTTATTGTGGCAAATACAAACTTAAATACAACCATTTAATAAATAAAAGGTGACACAGATACAAGAGTGATATATATTTTGTAGAAACGGGCAAATAATAAAAATTATCAAAATTAAAATANATTAAATTATTATTATTATATTAATGCAAGGGAAGGAAAAGTAGGGAAAGAGCGAATATAAAGATAGGAGACGAAGAATTAGAAGAAGTGGCCGATTTTAGGTATCTAGCTAGTCAGATAAGTCAAGACGGAAGGAGTAGTAGGGATATAAAGCAGAGGATAGCGCAGAGTCGAGTCGTCTTCAATAAACACTTCTATACTCGCGAACAGTTAATTTAGAAATTCGAAAAAGGTTGTTAAAGGTGTATGTTTGAAGCACGGCGCTGTACAGGTGCGAAACATGGACAGTGGGCGCGGCGGAAAAGAAAAGGTTAGAAGCGTTCGAAATGTGGTGTTACAAGGGAATGATGAAGATACCGTGGATAGAGAAGGTTAGAAATGATGAGGTATTAGAAAGAGTAAGAGGACAGAGGACTCTATGGATGTCAATAAGAAATAGGCGAAATAGGTTAGTAGGACACCTTCTCAGGCATGAAGGTCTAGTCAAAGACATATTAGAGGCAGAAACAGAAGTTGGGAGGGGGTAGAGGTAGACGTAGATTAGATTACTGTTCGCAAATAGTTAAGGATATGAGTTGCTCTAGCTTTAGGGAAATGCGAAGATTAGCGCAGGATAGGAAAGAGTGGAGGTGCGTGTCTTACCAGTCTTAGGACTGACGACCTTAAGATGATGATGATATATTTTGTATGAAGACTAGCAGACAGTTATAGAACTTTAACGACAACGTAGACAAATTAATATTAGAAAGGCGCTATTAATATCATTAAAGACATGAAACATTAAGGAAAAACAATTTTTTCTACCAATGGTATCCTACAGTTTCTGCCTTCATACCTTCCTGTCATGTCACTCTTCTTCGCCAATAGCTCTATCTCTCATATCATCATTCATACTCTTTTGCCACGTGGTTGTTGGTCTTTCCCTCTTTCTTTTTCCTAAGGGGCAGTATTGTTGTGCCCTTTATGGTCATCTTTCTCCCTCCATCATCTTTGCAGTTGTTTTGATATTATATTTGAGGTGTTATATAGGCATTCTTCTCGTTCAGTGTATTAGTGAATTCATTTTTGAATTAATTTTACCCACTACAAGTAACCGCAAATTAATGAGGAAAAAAGTTGCTGCTAGCAATCCCTTGCTCCTAGTTTTGCGCACCAGTATTCTACCACTAAGCTACAAGGAGGTGACAACAGCAACAACTTTTTCAGATTAATTTGAGGGTAGAAACTACCACAAATGGCATGGTGAACGCCATCTGTAGTACGATGCTACATTTTAGGATTACGTATGTTCCAACACGGTCCGTTTAAAAATATGAATATCTACTTGCTGAAACGAATCCCGGCGTAGCTCATCTCAACGTGATAGGCACGTTATCATAATCGACGAATCGCGATTTCGATGTTTTTGGATCTCATCAGCGCGTCGGAATTTTCTACAGAATACAGACCACTTCGAACTATTTTATTCGATTATGATAACGTGCCTATCACGTTGAGGTGAGCTACGCCGGGATACGTTTCAGCAAGTAGATATCCATATTTTTAAATGGACCTTGTTGGAGCATACGTAATCCTAAAATGTAGCATCGTACTACAGATGGCGTTCACCATGCCATTTGTGGTATTTTCTAAAACGCGCTGTTAAGATAGCAGGTAAAGGTTGGTCTGTGTTCTGTCGGAGCTGCCTGCGATGCGCTGATGAGATCCAAAAAGATCGAAATCGCGATCCACGTCTGGCAGTTTCGACAGAATACAGACCACTTCGAATTATTTTATTCAATTTGAGGGTAGAAGAGCAGAGCGCGATATGGAAATCAATGAAAAGTAGGTGACATAGGAAAGTAGAGAACCCCTTCAAACATGACGAGAAAGTAGGAGACATACTAGAAGCAGAAACAAGAGTTAAGAGTTCTAGTTTTAGGGAAATGCGAAGATTAACTTAGAATAGGAAAGAGTGGAGGTGCATATTCAGTCAGTCTTAGGACTGGTGACCCTGCAATGATGATGTGGCGGTAACTTAGATACTTAATCTTCTCGATAAACCGAATGACTTAGGTGTGTGCTTGCATGATAAAGCAACAGTTCAAGTGTTAAATTAATTGTGATAACAGTTATCACTATTAAATTTAATTTAAAATCTTCAAAGAATATCGTGCATTTCAGTTATCTTACTCATTTTTTTTTTTTTTGAAATATTTATTTTTTGATTACAAAATATTTCGGAAGACGTAAATTCTGTCCCGTGTCAACATTTTAATGTAAATTTCGTCACGATTGTTTTTATTGCCATACGTAGATTCCGTCCGATATATACCTGCACTTATTATAAATCGTGTAGCAATATTCGTAAGTCGAACAAGGAAACCTACCCATATTTCTGAAAAAAAGCAAAAATCATCATTCGTCGATTTTCTGGAAGAACTCATTAAATAATCCGTGAACGACATCATTATTTACTTAACACAATTTACACGAATTAATTGATTCTTTAATAATTTCATTAGCAAATGAAATTTAAATTTATTTAATAAAAAATTCTTCTTTAAGATGTACCTTTTCTCCAATAGGATTCTTAATGTAAATTGAAGTATATTAATTTTGAAATAAACCTTTATCTAAATTAATTAATGAATAGAATAAATCATTGTAAGTTAACTTTTTAATGCAAAATAGAAGATTTGATTCTGTTTTATTACTTTTAAAAGATTTAACAACATACAAAAAAGCATTTCCAATCAAAATCGTAAATTCCAAAAACTCATAGTCGTAATTCTAACTACCCTACGGTGTCTTTTTCATTCATTCTAATTTAGTGAAAACTAGAACTAAAGGCTAAATCAAATGTTTTAAAGTACTTTGAAATTACTTTTCTAAAAAGCGACAGGAATTTTTCCCGCCCTGCTTACTGTAACGAAAAATTCAGAGCTCTGATAGAAGAAGAAATCAAGAACTCCAGTACCTTCCGGATACCAATACCATTTATACTAGAGATGGGCCGGGTACTCGATTTGGATCCGGTACCCCGTGGATCCGGCACTTTTATTTAGGATCCGGTCGGATGCCGGATAATGACGCCCAGTACCCGGCAGTGTCGGCTAATTCTACCAAAGAAAAATTAAAAAACAACACCATACAGCAATTAACTACTCAATCGATCATCGTGAAATTTTATAGACACATTGTCAGAGGTACACAAAAGTACATAGTGTATCTTTTATCCAGAAAAAGATGCTGTTCCCGAAGGGTAGAAAAATTACTTTTATGTGGCCGTCGATGGTTTTTGACACGTATTTAAGACATCAACACAAGCGAAGACGCGGATAAAATTTAAAATTTAATAAGTGTAACTAAAACCTATATACTGAAAATTGGTAATTAAGATTGCATTGGGATAGGTCGTTCATCTTAATTTGTATCATTTATTGATTACTTTCGTATAGTAAAGTATTTGTCATTTCGATAGTAGTTCTTGTGCTTACTTTTTCTTGTGAACAAGAATACATCAGTATGGCCGAACTGTTAGAATTTCTATTGCTTGTTGGTATAACAGGTTTTAATTAACGATAACTTGGTATGATTTTGTCACCTTGCAGACTTTTGGTGTTTATAAACGTTCAATTGTTCCATCTCAATCCTCTCATTAAAAATCTGCCAATTAAGAATTAAAATTTCATTGGCTTAGTATTTAAACGACTTTTTGGTTTTAATGTGGTTTGGGACTCTGGTGAGGGGTGGTATTTAAATCAACTAACCCCTGAGTTACAAAATCACTATCCGGCGCATCTCTAATTTATACCGAGTATTTACGAAGTACCCAAGTCTAACTTACCAAATATTCGTTCAGTATCGAGCACATACATAATCAAACCTAAATATCTAATAACCCCTGAGTATACTTCGATCACTCAATTGTCGAACATTGGAGCACTAACAATTTAAATCTGTCTATTAATAATTCAAACCTACTCAACCATCTGAGTCCTAAGAACTAGCGCTTTGCCAAACCTGTTTAAAGTTCATATTGTTGTTAAATCTTCAATTTCATAACTAATTCCTTTTGTCACAAACTTTCTTTCTTATTACTAACCCCAACTACCTATAAGTACTGTCGTTAAGAAAAAGGATGATGGGTGATCACGCAATGGAACATAAAAATTACCCTTGCATCGGCGGTTCATAATAAAAGACCTGCCGAATTCAAGAGTTAAATTAATTTGATTATAATGGAATTAAGTAATCAAAATTTTTTTTTAGATTGTCCTGATACGCTATCTAAAAATTTTACGAAACGAAAGTTAGTAACAAGTGCAATACGTCAATAGTTCATTAAATTGATAGAGAGAAACAAATGGATTTAATTTGGTTTATTTAATTCAATTTGATTAGTTGCATTTGGGATCTCATACAGAAAATAAGTGACGATGTTGCAAGGACTTAAGAACCGAGGATACCTGCTAGGAGCAGTTATGTCCTGTAAGTATCACTGATTTGGTTTAATATTGAATGTTTAATAGTATGTAAATTCAGTGAATAAGTTAAAGAAAGTTTTGGTAGTGGTTAATATTTAATATTAATGTGAACATTCATTTAATTTTTATCCATTAAAAATTATGTCGATGAATCTGTGGCCTAATAAGTATGTTTCGTCGTTATTGCAACTGTCACCTTTCGTAGCTTAGTTGTCGGAGCATTGATACGTAAAGCCAAAGGTCCCGAGTTCGATTCCCGGCGAGGATGTGACACCAGCAATAATAATAGATAAAAAAATTATTGTATTTTCACATTAATAGTAAATATTAACCACTACTAAAAGTTTAATTTTAGAAGACACATAAAAAAATGTACAACGATTACGCACTATATCTGAAAATGTACGAAATGAACGGCTATTTTACAACAGTTTGAAATTTTACTCCCTCTAATTAGTAAATCTTAGGTTTTAGTGGTTAATTCTAGGATTTATTATCACTTGGACGTTCATGGTAGGTAACATTCGAAAGCAACATTTGTTAAACAGTGTTAATTGAAAATAGGGATAAAATTTCAAAGCCAGGTCACTGGGACCCTTCGTCATTTATTAATTATGAACGTACAAACCCTTTTACGATTTCAATGGAGTGGCAACTATCCTAATCTGACTAATTAAAAAGGATTGAGGCGAGTACATGCAGCTTGATTACAAATTATATATATTGTACTTCCTCCTTGAAAAGGTTCAGGATATTATAGTGTAAGTACGTTCTGCTCCAAATGAGTTTTATAAAAAGTAAGTAGTTTTTTTATGACAAGCGGTACATTTGCGTAACGAGTGCAATACGAGCGAGATCGACACGGGTCAAATATTTACATTTTAATACTCATCATCATAAGGTCGTCAGTCCTAAGACTGGTTGAACATGTACCTCCACTCTTTCCTATCCTGAGCTAAACTTCGCATTTCCCTAAAACTAGAACAGCCCACATCCTTAACTATTTGCGAACAGTAATCTAATCTAGGTC